AGGAATTGATACTGTAGAATACTGTGGCATCACCTCCCTCCATCCCTCAAACACAGCAGCCGGTCCATTGAAACCTGAAAGTATTCATGGACACGCCCCCTCCACCCACACAGCGGGAACCCATTGAAATTCAATCTGCGACACCAGACATCCTTGTCTCTCTCACCAACTAAACCAAATCCAAGCAAGTATTTTAATTCAGTTATTCAATTACCAGGCCTTATAGGAAAAAACTTAAAAAAAAAAAAAAAGAGAAAAAAATCTCTCTCTATTCTCCCTATGTAGTCCTCATGCCAATTTATGATTATAAATTCAGTTTTTTTTTGTTTACTTATCATCTTCCTTCCTGAGCACATTGTAATATCAAAAAGCACAGGAAAGGGGCTGGTAGGTAGAGGTGAGGGAGGTCGAATCCCACATAGATGACAGTGTGGTTTGAGTGTCTGACCCAGCAGCTTAAAAATCACACCAGGCGCATGCATGTACATGCCCAAAACATGTTGGGTACGTGTGCATGCCCAAATCCTTAGAAAATACCGAAGACAGGATTGCAACACGGCCATTCCTTCTCCCCCCAGGGTGATTCTCACCTTCCCTCTCACTGTGTTTGTGTCTCACCCCTTGGCAGAGCATGTGCCCTAAAGCAAAATCCCCTAAAAGGAAAAAAAAAGTTTACACCTAATATGCCTACAATCGTTTCTCCAATTGTTTTTGTTTTTCTGTGGGGAGGAGGTCATGAATATTTATCTCATTAATACAACAGTAGGTCATAACTCCTTCCCTGTAGTCAACTCAGCTCTCACTTCACGTAGTATATTAATGAAGATTGCATAATTTTTAAAAAATATATTTATTATACTTATTATTATCATCATTTTTTAATTTGCTATAGGGCACCTGTACTCACCAGAGAGAGACCAAGTGAGAAAGCAAGACTCCAGCCATGGTAGGCCCAACACCTTAACCACCACAACTGACTGGGAAATTGGGATGTCCTTTTTCTCTCTCCCTCCCCCTCTCTATCTTTATTGAGCACACACACCCTCTGGGGAAAAATTTAAAAAAAAAAAAAAAAAAAAAGAAGTTGTCTCTGATAGAACCCATGATTAAAAGATAATAAATTGCTTATCTGATGTTCTGTGCGTGAAACTTACCCAACGTAAAATAAGAAATTTCATTTCATAGGATACCCACCCCCATCTCAAAGCCCACAGTTAAGAACGAATGTTCTGCATGTTAAAAGTTCCCTTCCCAAAAGAGGGAAACCCCAGCTCAAGTTCTATTCACTACTCACCAAGTTGAAATAAATCCATAGGTCAGGGAGGTAAGGGCTTGGGACGGGAGGCCAGGCAGTTACTTCCACACTTCCGCTTTCTTTCAGCAGAAGTGCCCAAGGTCACCGACTTTCATTTAGTAATCCCCTGCACTTGAAAGGACTAAAAGATCCGCCCTGTTCTCCTTGATTAGATTTACATAGTGAACTTTATAAGGGATTATTACTAAACCAAGAATGTCCCATTGACTCTGACTCCACTTAGTATTTCCCAAATATCCAGAAAGATAAGAGCACTCAGTAAATTTTCTTTTTTAAATTTGATTTTGATTTTTTTTACATTCAATTACTGTGTATCATTACAGCATAGCAAATGAATTTTCCTGTCATGAATATACTGTATATTGGTTCAGCCATGATCAATGGATAATTTTCCATTTTTGTGTTTCTTAAATGTTTTGCCTCTTTCTTTTCCCCCTTCGTTCCCTCCCTGTCACCTTCCCCGTTTCCCACCCTCTTCCTGTGCTGTTTCTACTATCACAAGTGTTCTCCATGTTTTTATACATTCCAATCTTTCCATTTCTGTCACAGAGTTCAGACATTCTATATATTGAGTGGGGACATACAATGTCTCTCTTTCGTAGTCTGACTTGCTTTGCCACTTTGTCCACTTTCTGTCAAATGTCATGGGGCAAGTGTATTTTCCAAAGAGAGACAGAAAATGAAAAATCGCCCCCAAGGGGGATGGCCATTCCACATTCCCTTCTCCATTTTACTCTCAAGACTTTGGTCACACATGCACACACACTGGCATGAGATTTAAGCCACTGGGTCCAGGACTCAAATCATGGTCAACTACATGGGAGTCCAGCAACATAACCATTATGCCATCTGCTGGTCCCTGAGTCCTTGATCAGCCCTTGGCTATGAGCTTCAACTCAGGAACAGAACAGAGGCTGAGGGTGGGGGCAGAGGGCACTGCTTGCCTTCCCTTGGGTAACATGCAAACCAGCAGCTGCAGTTCTGGAATGAAGAGAGAATAATTTGGTTAATGAGGAGCTTTGGAGATAAGGCCCCTAGGGCCAGAACGAAATAACTGTAAATAGACCATCTGTCCCCTGTCAACACAATTCTCACCTGTGTCAGACCAGAAATGACATCTCGCCGGGTCCCAGATAATGCATCTTGCCCAGGAACTCCACCGCAACTGTCTCCTTGAAATTCTTAAGGGTCAATTTGTCATCAACATCTACACCCTCAAGATCTAAGCTTTGCTGTGAATTCTTCCAGGAGATCGCACTCATTCCATCATCCCTAATCTAGACTTGGATAAAATCTTCCCAAGGACAAAAGGAGGTAGGATCTGAAACTCTGGGAAGGGTGTTAGCTATTCCCTGATCTGCAGGATTCTCTGGATAAGGAGAAAGGATGGAACAGACATGAGGGTGGGGCTCTGTTCCCTAAGAAAGGCATCCCCACCCATGAAATGTGAGAAATAAGAGGCGGGTGGTTTCTCAAAGAACCAGGAAGGACACGCACCTAAGTAAAGCAAATCAGAAAGTTCTTTCAACAAGTAAGATATACATGCATGTGGGTAACAGCATAATGATGCTAGGCGAAATGTACAAAAATGAAAACACCACCGTTAAAGAGTTTGGATTGTATTATTTTCTTTTAATGTGATCCTATGGCTTTAATAAAAAGATGAAA